ATATAATGTTATGTATCTATAAATATGTATATATATTGGAGAGATATATAAATATATATACAATTTATTTTATATATATTATCTTCAATACTATATTCACCAGCACCTTTTATCAATTGGGTATGATTGGTCTAAATCTATAGCCATGGTTAGTTACTGAGGAATTTCCATGGTGGTGCAGGCCAGTCTGCATTCTATTTAAAACCTTAGCTCCTCTTCTGATAACATGCCTAATCCTTGCAAAGTGCCTCGTATGCACTTTACTTGCCTTTCGTGAGCACCATTCTCAACACTTTACAAAAGGTGGCAAACAGTAGATTATCATAAACACATATGCAAACACAACAAGCCAGATATCAATAACCTAGCAACCATTATTTTTAAAAGGAGGCTTTTCCCCCTCTTGGTTCTAGTTGATTTGGGACACTGTTAGCTGGGCACAGGTGCATGAAGGAAAGACATGGAGGGGTATCTACTAACAGCAATAATATTTAGACATGTTTCTGGCATTTTTACAGACAGTGAAAGTACAGGGGAATGATATTTCCCACAAGCTGCAGATCTCCAAAGTCAGGAGAAAGGATGAAGGATTGTATGAGTGCAGAGTGACGGATGCCAATTTTGGAGAACTTCAAGAATACAAAGCCCAAGCTTATCTCAAAGTGAATGCAAACAGCCACTCCCGAAGAATGCAGGCTTTTGAAGCTTCCCCAATGTGGCTGCAGGATAAACCTCGCAAGAATATCTCAGCTGCCATCTCTAACAGCATCCATAATTCTGCCAGTCAAAGATCCACTTCTAATCCTCCAGTAGATGCCAAAATCCCTAAGCAAAGTCCTCAATCAGGTATGAGCAACCATTTTGAACATTTTAAGCATGTGACTAGAATGTAATTGAAACTCAAAGCAATGCTATTATTAGAGAAAAATGATGCTGTTATTTTATATCCTGCATAGAATTAGAAAACATTTAATACTAAAATCTTGATATGCTTAATCCTTATTGCCCTGCAAAACAAAAATAAAAGCCTCATTTGATAAAATAACATAATACAGGTAAAACTAACCTGTTATCCTGCATGTTAGTTGTAGCCCATGGTAGGACACTAGAAGTTTGATACATTTTGCTTTTCATACAATGGCATCCTTGAGGGGCAGGGCAGGAACAGAATAACATAGATACCATTGTGATTTTTCAATACAAGGGCCAACCTATTATATATAAGGATCAATAAATTGTCCTCCCACCACAATGCAACTTTTGTTCATTCTAACCTTTGCTCATTCTAACTAATAAACTTCTGCAGAGACCCATGTTTGTACACTTTCTTAGGATTACAGGAACAGAGCAAAGAGTAGGCTGAGTACATCAAACAAATGACAATGAATGGCTTAAACAAAATAAATAAAAATTATTATAAAAATATAAATATAAAAGATGAAACTGAAACAAGATGGATTACATCCAAATTCCAAAGGTCCCTTAAAATATTCCTGTTATTTTATTAGTATTTTTAATGTGGGAAGGACTGTTTGGTCTCCGTCATTCTATTATTTTTATATAGGAAACTATTCGTTTTGAGATTTGTCATGATGAGTACTTCTAGTGTGCTTGATTATTTTTACTTTAAATAATTCAAGTAGGAAATAAATGAAGTTTTGGTAGCTGTATTTGGATTGGTGGGTCACAAGTCCTGAATACTGCTTAAATATTTCTTTATATCACTATGTTATCTATCCAGATGCTTTTGCTGGCTATGGACAATAAAGGGTCATTATAGTAGCTGAGTTATGATTTAATAAACTCATAAGATAACTTCTTACCAAAATCCTCAGTCTCCATCCTACCCCAGTAAAATATAGAACAATAGTAGTGATCCTGATCATATAGAATTGTTGGGGAAATCCATAATAAAATAGGTGTTTGAAATATTTAAAATTTAAAATTTTTAAATTGCCCAGATGGATTTTCCTCATGGGTATATTCTAATAAAGATTAGACAACAGAATATTTTAACATGTACTAAGCAGACTAAATGGCCTAAATAGCTCCTTCCAATTCTATTGTTCTGTTGAATAAAGTGATTTCATGACTGGTGAATGATCCTCATTCTAAGAATGTGCTCAGCATTTGATGTTCTGTTCAGCAGAATATTAGAAGTACTAGACATGAATAGTTTGGGAAAGCTTCTCATTATTATTTTTCCAATAACCCCCCCCTACACACACACCACACTGTTATAAGTTTCCAAAATTCAAGGAAATAGCATTATCCTTGGAAGATAATGTGTATATTTCATATATTTTTGTCTGAAAGATTAAGTGCATTTATAAATAGATAGTTGCATATGAAATCAAATACCTGAAACTTGCCATGCTCAAAGCTATGAAATTGTGAAAATTTTAAGCAGATTTTGAAATTTTCATCTTTGTAGGGAGAAAAACATAATCAAACATTGTACTGGAGTGTGATCCTAGAAAGTAGAAGGCTGGACAACCTCACACAGAAACTCTCTCCATTACTTGCCCACTCCCCACTCCTGCTTAGAGTTCCTATGTTTGTAATTCCTGCCAGTATCATCCCCAAACAGATAGTCCTTCTGTCTCTATTATTCTGGAACTTTGGGATTCCAATGAGTTAATATTCAAGTTGCTGGAGAAATGGATGGAACTCAGTCATTTCCCTAGTCTTTTCCTCAGAATCTTCCTCTGACAAGTTCTGCCTTCAAATATTTCTTTAAGAAAAAAGAATTTACATTTTCTTCTTCTGACAGAATGACAGAGATATTTCTCATGTTTATGTGACCAAAAATCTCTTTCTTATATGAAATATCGATTCTATATATACCTATTTAGTGATTAGATTAGCACTTATGAATGTCAGATGTCACCCTGTGAGTTACCCCATATTCAAAATCAAATTGAATTTTGTTGCTCAGATTTGCTTGATATTTTTTTCCCAAATATGTGCATAGTATTTGTTATTAATAATTTATGATAAAATATGGGCATAAGCCTTTATTTTCAAAACAACTCTATAATATTTTTAACAGAAAGTATTAGTTGTACAGCTAATCCCAGGCATCCATTTTTCAAAATATATTTCAGATGAGATTTTTATAAGCCAATAGTTCATTCTGATGACTGTTCCACATTTTGTTCAAAAATTCAAATTAGGTTTTCTTTAGTAACTTTTATTGTTCTTCATTTGGTTATTTGACTTCAACAGAAAAACAAAGCTGAATAAACCTTACTATGGCATACAAGAGTGGAGGTTGGGCTGGAAAATAGCTGGCAGTTGCCAACAAATACCAGTTAAAGTAGTTTTTGGATCAAACTTAGGTTTTATTACAACTATATAAATGCAAGTTTCTACTACATTAAATACATAATGGTGATGCTTCTGTTAGAAGCAAACTTAAAAAGAAAAATGTTCAAGAAAAATTTTTAAATACAGCAGAATCCTATTAATGTGAATTATTTTCAGACATAGTATGGAAAAAGTGAAGCTGAAGATTTCACTGAAAATAGCACTGTAGAAATCCATCAAGTGGAGGAAAAAAAGAGTGCTTAAGCCATGAGACAATATAAATGCTAAATATGATTGGCAACTAATCAGGCTCTTTAACTTTTCATGCTGATAAGGGCATGCTCCTCCTGCAATTAGAAAAGGAAACAGTCAGGAAAGTGGGAGAAGAGTGGATATAATTAAACTATTAAAAGAAATTCTCATATTTCTGCAAATAATATGAAGATTGCATAAAACCCGAATTTTAATTATCTCTGCTTTTCATAAAGTGATACATTCTTGATCTCTCAGACACAGAATTAATGCAAAGATCACTTTTTGTCTGCCAGCACAGCTACATTATACAGTTCCTTTCTAAAACAAGTAATTCTTATGAGACTGGTTACAGGGATTTAATAGGGCAAATATAGTCATCTTTCTCTTAAATGTCTATTTCGTTTGGCCATACTACTGCTAAAACCCATTTAAAGGTTATCCTTGATTTACAACAGTTCATTTAGTGAAAATTACAGTGGCACTAAAAAAAAGTGAATTATGACTGTTTTTCACACTTATAACTGTTCCAGCATTCCCACGGTCACATGATCAAAATTCAGATGATTGGCAGTAGACTCATATCTATAACAGTTGCAATGTCCTAGGGTCATGTAATGCTCTTTTGTGATCTTCTAATGAAGTCTCTCATCAGTCACATAGACCCTCCTTCTTTTCTCCTCTCATAGTCTCTCTCAGTCCCTCCTATAATTAATTCAGACTTACTTTCAACTGAATTTTCTTTAAAATCATTTCTTTAAAACCAGAGATATTTCATGATAAGAATCCTCTACTCCTCTGCTTGAAACAGAATACCTTATGCCACCAGACTTGAAATTTTGGGCTTAGACAACTTAGAATGACGACGCCTTTGACCTAAGCGTAGTACATAAAATTATCTGCTAAATGTCCTACCTGTCAATGACTATCTCAGCTTCAATCACAACAATACATGCGCACACAATAGATACAAACTTAAGGTAAACCACTCCAAACTCGACTGCAGAAAATACGACTTCAGCAACAGAGTGGTCAATGCCTGAAATGCACTACCTAACTCTGTGGTTTCTTTCCCAAACCCCCAAAACTTTAACCTTAGACTGTCTACTGTCGACATCACCCCATTCCTAAGAGGTCTGTAAGGGGCATGCATAAGCGCACCAATGTGCCTACCATCCCTGTCCCAATGTTCCTTTTTATTCGTATCCATTTCATGTATTCAAAATTACGTTTATACTTATATATACTTATATATGTTATCATATACATGCTTGACAAAATAAAAAAAATTCCATAGAACATAGAATCATAAGACTTAAAGGAACCATGGGGTCATGTAGAGATTAATGTAACATCATTATAATGACAATTTCTTTATAGAATCAGTGTAAATTTATGATAGCATTTCAAGCAATATTCATATTAACTTTCAACTTTAGCTTTGGAAACAGATCTAAATCTATCTTTAAACATTTTCACATTTTCTTAAATATGTATGGATCTCTGCATTCATATATACCTCTACTAGCCTCTCCCTTGTGAATATCATAAATTTGTTCCAATATATAAAACTTCACAATAATTTATAAATATCTACAGTTTTCAGATTTTCTGATTATATATGCTGTATTCTGAAATACATTTTTGAAAACCAAGTGGTGAACTAATTTAATGAACGGCTCTGGTTCATCATTTTTTCTTCTCACATCCTGCTTGTTTATAGAAAATCCACAATGATTTTTATTGTCTTTAATATTACCCTTCAATTCTTTGTTTGTTTTGCATTTAGTAGATAGGAAATTTTGTGATAAGTTATTGCTACTTTGTGTAAACTTAAAATAATCTATATGGGACAGTTGCAGTTATGCATTTAAAGTCATGATGTTTAAACAATATTTTGCTGATAACAAAAGAATAACAGAATAACAAGACCTTGGAGGTTTTGTAATACAATCCCTGCTCAAACAGGAAACCTGTACCATTTCAGACAAATCCCTTTTTTATAACATCCAGTGTTGAATCATCCACAATTTCTGGAGGCAAGTTGTTCCCCTGATTAATTGTTCTAACTATCAAGAGGTTTCTCCTTAATTGTAAGTTAGTTTCTCTCCTTGATTAGTTTCAATCCATTGCTTCTTGTCCTGCCTTCTGATGCTTTGGGAAATAGATTGAGTCCTCTTCTTTGGGGCAGCCCCTCAAATATTGGAACACTGCTATCATGTCATCCCAAGTCCTTCTTTTTAATAAATTAGACATGCCCAATTCCTGCATCTGTTCTTTGTATA